GAGATTGGAATTTAATTGAATATTCTCCGAGCTTCCTGGTGATTCCTTTGTGCAGTCAGGGTGGAGAAGCACTGGCATCCTTGGTGTGAGCCCGAGGCTAGAGGAACAAAAAGGAGCCTCATGTCAGGTCCAACTCGCCAGGCCTTCACCCCAGCATGCACTTGGTTTGTGTCACCTAAGCCCACACACCATGTGGACACTGGCGGTGGTGCTTGGCTGGTCAGGGTTCTTCTCAGTGATCTTGCCAGCATGTGGCAGTGCTCAGTAGAGAGGAGCCTGGAGTCTGGGGGGCCATCTCTCTTAGTTCTCAGGTTGTTTGTGTAGCCACACTTGTGAGCAGGGACATGCTCTCTCAGGCCCCGCCGATCTCAAGAGCGCCTACATTTCTTGTGAAAGGGAGCAGCTCCTGCAATGGGAGAGCATTTGCTAATCTGAATCTTGGGCTGACAGTGACTTCAAGGGCCAGCTCAGGCTCACCTTAAAAACACTTGGAGTGTGGGCTGGTAAAAGACTCGGTGTGTGCCACCACCAGCTCTTCTACCTAGAATCAAGGGGTTGGCATGGTGCCGAGCCTCAATTATGATCCTGGATTTGAGGAATCTGCAGAGTGGAATCAAACATACCCAGGTTGTGGATTCATCAAGAACAGGCAATGGGGAGATAAAGGAATTAATAATACACAGTGGGTGTATCGTCTTTCCAGATGGAAATGGAGAAAACTTAATGTAATTGTCACAAACCCAAGGCCAAGAAATAAAATTAAGATCAAAAGTTCAGTCCCTAAACACCATTTCTAGGAAACTTATTGTTCATTAGCTATGGGAGAAACACAATCATAACAGGTAAAAAAAAACTTTGGAAATTTATGTGCAGATGGAAAATGTTGAAAGTAGGTGAATTGGGTCTTTCTCTACAATAAGAAAGTGACCTAAAGGGATGTTTGTGCAGGGCAGGGATGACTAATGCCACAAAGGCTGGGGAAAGGTTAGGTTTGAGGAAGCAGTATGTCAAAGAAAGAAAAGTTTTGGAAGAATTTATTTGAGCCAAAATTTTGAGGACATGCCTGGAAGCAAAATCTCCGTGTTGAGAAAAATGCTCCAGAGAATGGCAGTTTTGCAATTTATGTTACACATTAGAATCAAAGGAGAAAACGTAAGGAGGATAGATTGAAATCCTTTGGTGGTAGATTAAGGAGGCAGGAGAAAGCAAAGTGGGGACATCTCCACGACTGGATAAAAGGCAGAATGGAGAGCCACATATATTTTTTTTACATTGGTGGGTATAGGACAGTTAATAATTAACCTTTACAACACACAGAAATGGTATTTGGATGTGGTTCCACAGTGTAGCGGTTAGCACGTCTGCTTTACACACAGAAGGTCCTGGGTTCACGCCCCATTAGAACCACAGTCCATGGTCTATGGCCATGCCACCCTGAACAAGTCCAATGTCTGATCTCGGAAGCTAAGCAGGGTCGGGCCTGGATGCGACTTGGATGAGAGACCACCTAGGAAGACAAGGTGCTGTCGGCATAAATAATAATAAATAATAAAAAAGAGAGAGAGAGAGAGAAAATGGCCTAGGTAAGTCAGAAAAAAAAAAAAAAAGGAAAAGAAGTGTTCGGGAAACAAGATAAACAATGAGTTCTGAGGTTTCCTGGTGTCCTGGCCTCTAGGGTTGACAGTTGGGACTTGGATGAGAGCCCACCTAGGAAGACAAGGTGCTGTCGGCATAAATAATAATAAATAATAAAAAAGAGAGAGAGAGAGAGAAAATGGCCTAGGTAAGTCAGAAAAAAAAAAAAAAAGGAAAAGAAGTGTTCGGGAAACAAGATAAACAATGAGTTCTGAGGTTTCCTGGTGTCCTGGCCTCTAGGGTTGACAGTTGTGCCTTCGAGAGGTCTAGAAAAAAAATTGCTCTAACATTTCAAAGATATGTTATCCTAGAGCATAAGAACTGTGGACAGGGCTCGCTTAAGGTAAAGCTTGACCTTTGCTGGGATGTGACTGACGGCCATGGCCTGCCCGGTTAGGATTCATGAGCAGACTGTCTCGTGTGGTTACTTTTGGTCACTGAGCTTGTCAGACCTTCCAAGTAACCAACCCCCACCTTCCCCCCACCCAGCCCCAGCTTGTTGGGTTTATTACGTAGCCACTTTTTTGTTTACAAGTATTTAGAAAAAGTCATATGGTTCTCTCTGGCCTCCAGATAGAGGCACCAATGTTACCACCAGCAGTTTCAGTTCAAAAATATTTGAAGGGGATTTCCCAGCTATGGTGATATAGGGATCAGTAAGAGAAGGATTCAGAAGAAGGTAGTTTAACATGATCATGTTAAAAGATAAAAAAAAAAAGAAGTAAAAATTTTAAGAGTTTATTTGAGCAAAAAACGATTCAAAGTTTTGGGCCAGCTGTGGGTAAATGAGACTGGGGCAACCAGCGAAGAGAAGTGGACGTAGATGCAATGGTGGGGGTGGGGGTGCAGCAGGAGCAAGCAGAACCATTCCCACAAGGGACCCCCAGAGCTAGGGGCGACACTTGGGATGGAGTCCCTCACCTGCAGGACTGTGGGAGCCACCACCTGTCCACAACAAGCCTGCAGACCCTGAGCTAGGTCAGTGTAAACAGCTCAGAGAAAGATCAAAGTACACCCCAGCCAGTCACATAAAAAGCCCTCTGTGCGCTCTTTGCCTGCGTCCTTCTACCCCAATGCCAAAAAGCTGTGGGGCGCACGACGGGGCGGGGCGTCAGAGCAAGAAGACCGCGCCCCTCCCTCTGGCCTTAAAGGTATATAAATCAGATGGTGAGTTAGTGGGATCTGACTTGAATGTGAGATCGACTTTTAAATTAGAACTGTTTCAAGTCTTAAGAACTGGAATGAAAGCGCTTTAAAGACGGTGAGTGATTGAAAAGTTAGGGAATCAGACTTAACCAGAGTAAAGGGAGCCTGCCCCCTAGCGGGGACGAACAAGGCTGACAGCTAATGAGAACGACCCTCCCTTTCCCGCCCTCACCCCACAGGAGCTATTGTCGCCTCACTTTACAACTGGAAAATCTGTGCCTCTGAGAGTTAAGTGATTCAGCCAAGGTCACGTCTACGAATGGCAAGGCTGAGCCTAGAGCCCAGGTGCTCTGGCCTCCAAGCCCGGGAAGATTGAAGCATATTTTGTGGCCGCCACTTGGGGGCGTCCTCACCGTCAGTTGGAAGGTTCGCGACTCTAATGGTTGTAACCCGCCTGACGAAAGGTTTACGATGTGAGCTGGTTGTTTTTGCTAGCAAAGCAGAGAGTGTGAGAAGAGAAAGCTCCAGTCCTGACCAGCGCCGGAGAAAAAAAAATCAGAGTGTTGGGTAGAGTAACAGCACAGGTGTAATCGGACCTCTTTGCCCCAGCAGGTTTGACAGTCCAAGGGTTGGTAAAAGTGTGTGTGGTTGAGAAACAGAGAGAAGGTTCAGATCTAATGCTCCTGGCTGACGGACGCGGCCCTGTGGGAGGGAGTGGAAGGATTCTAAACCAGAGT